TGCTGCTGCTGTTGCTGTTGTTGCTGCTGCTGCTGCTGCAGTTGGGCAGCTGTGTTGGCATCCACCTGGCCCTGATTGGCGGCCGAATACCACCACTGGGAGCCGGGCACTGCTGCAGCCGCTGCAGCCTGGGCCATATTCAGGCGATAGTCATAGCCTGTGGTACCGGCAGCATTCGACGTGGCCACAACCTGGGCCATCGTCGTGGCTGGATTGGGGAAACTGCTGGCCATTTTGTATGTGAACAGCTGTTGGGTGCCCACACCGGCAGCGGTATTGGAGCTATTCTGATGCGCCTGCTGCTGATTCTGCTGTACCACCACTTGGTGTTGTTGCAACTGTTGCTGTTGTACTTGTTGTTGTTGCTGCGCAGCCAGTTGCTGCTGATAGTGTTGAATGGTTTGCTGATCAATAGGTTTGTTGGTTGTGTTTGTGATTAGAGGTGTGTGCGATGCCAGCCGGAGCCGAGTGTCTAATGGCTATGGCCTAGCCTAGCCTATATCTATGTAACTACAACTAAAACTAGAACTACTAACTATTTGCAACAGCAACAACTACGTTTGTTTGGCTATAGTCCCCTGGACACTCGTCTCGCGCCTGGCATCGCACTACTTAATCACTAACTCAGTAAGTCATAAACATTAATGGAAATGTGCGGGTGTTTGGATTAGTGATTAATAAAAATATATATAGTGGTTTCAATTGCACTGACAGCGATACTCCGGTCGAATGCAAACCAACAGCAAACAGAAAACATAAAACAAAACGTCTACTAAACCAATTCTACGAAAAGCAATTTAAACCAAACAATTATTTTATTTCTATATAAAAGCATATGCATGTGTTTTGGTGTGTGTGTGCACGCTGGTCTGTTCGGAATATTGTTTCATTCCCAAACAGCCGGCAAAAATCTCGGTTATCGATTTCTATGGCGTTCTATGACACCACATTCGTATACGTACAACCTATGCATGTATGTACAAATGCACATACAAACAGTGCGCTAGTGTGTATTTGTAGTGTAGTGTGCTAGACTAAACAACGCATAAAAAAAAAGAAAACATTCGCTCAGCTGTTTTTCCTCTAGATAAAACCTAAAATGCTTTTTGGGAGAGAGAGGCGTCTTTTGTGGTACCGGTTCCGTTTTATTGGTGAACCAGTTTCGCCAAATGCTTTTATTTTGATTCCAGTGCCAGGGCCGGTAAAGAACCAGGGTTCCGCCACACAGCAGAGTCAATGACGGGGATGAATGGAAAAGGTAATTTTTCCAGGGGCAAACAAAAGAAAAGCTTAAATATGCACAAAATATTGGTGGACAGGTCGTCTCACCCCATAAACAAAAGTAATTCAATTTGTTTTTGCGAATTGCAAAAGGGGACAATGGATTGGTTTAATCCAGACCTTTTTACACGTGGGTAACGCTTTGCTTGAAAACTATACGCACATACATACATATGTACACGCTTGTGGACATACACACATGTTAGAAAGGAAGAGAAAATGGTTGGTAGCATGAGAATTGGCCAAGCATTTTGCGTACACTGTATGTATGCTTGGATGTTATATACATACACAAGGGGGGAAAAATACAGCGAATTTAAGATTACGCAAGCTGTGAATTTTTTGTGCATATTCTAGTTTGCACACACATTCGTATCCATACACTGGCCATGTGGATGTGTTAGTGAAGCATTTATCAATGCGCATTACCATATTTTTTTTCTTTGTTTTTTTCTACTCAACCAAATGCAAATTTATTTACAACCGTGTAAATACATAAATATACGTATATACATTTAAATAAGTATAATTATATATTATATACTGGATATGAATATATTTGTACAAACTAATAAAAAAAATGGCGGCCCTAGATGCGCACGCAAAATAAAATTTCGCTTGTACAGCGTCGCTTTTGTTTGTATGCATGCACGCATACGTCAACGAAACACGCTAATGTATTAGTTACTTTTTACATAAAACAAATTTACGTGCAAAAAACGCTTAAACAAATTCACATACATATTTACAGGTACACACATACATAGAAACACAAAGCCAGCCACTCTAATGTATGTACATATGTAACGGATGATCACAGACAAAATTTTGACCTGGCTACGCTTTAATTCATTATTTTTTTGGTGCAGAAATGCTTGTAACAATTTAAGGTTGTACATATGCCATGGTGCGTTTGCACATATGTATTGGCATTGGCGGGAAAATCATTAACTTTCAACGAAAACGCGGCAAGCTACCAGGCCAGGCCGCACGCCTTTTGTTTGCATATGTATGTGTGTCTCTCTGTATGTATGTATGTACGAACATTAAATAAATGCCGTATACCTGCAGACAAGCTTACCTGTATTTGATGAAAGTGATCCATAACGGAGCCGATCGGTTCGAATGGTTTCTTAAGTTAACGTTCTTTTTGTGGTGCACTACGAATAGTGCTGGGATTTTAGGAGTTTCCTTCTTTTCTTGCCGTTTCTTTCTCGCACTACACACACATACACACTCAACGTAACGTAAGCACTGTGTCAATGGCAATGGAGTTTCTGTTTCAATTTCAGCTTTGGTTTGAGGCCAGCTTTCAAATACTGTTCTAGACGTATTTATTTGACGTTGTATTGATTATTGTATGCACACACAACGCATTTACTTTTGTACATATGTATGTACACGGCAGACGCCACACGGTAATTTTGGAATTGAATCCGATTCTTACGGCATTCGACAGCGCACGCAACGAAACGTAACGTACGTAACGCGTTGTTGGGGGGAATTTGTTGTTTGCTTTTAGTTACTAAAAAATAAACAAACGACGCTACATATGCAGCACTTTGTTGTGTTCTTTTTTTTGTTGCTATCAATGCGGAAAAGATGGTTTGCGCGCCGCTCCGCTCGCCTGATTGAAAACACACACAGAGAGTACCGTACCAACAACGCGAATGCAAAGGCTTTGAATTGAATTGCCGTCTTGCCAGGTCTACGTTACGCCAAAACTTCTGTATGCGTTGAATGCGCAGCTGTGTGTGTATATTTGTGTACGTTTGTGTGTATGTATATTGTGAGCACAAGGTAGATGGTGTAGAGGGTGAGGCAAGTCGCCTATTCGGCTATCCCACTTTGTTTTCCACCCCGTCTCTCTCTCTATCGTTCTTAGCGCGCGTTGTTTAGATTTGTACAACAAAGTCTGAAATGCTCCTGAAGCTGGTTTGACTGCCGCATAGAGTCGCTCACCGTACTTCCCCTACCCTCTATTTTATATACCTTTAGTACAGTTTACTGAGCACAGTTCTCTCTCACTCTCTCTCTTTCGCGTCAGAGCATATGTATATGTACACATGTCTGTATGTACATACACGTGGTGGAGGGAAGCAGCAGCAGCAGGCCTTATAAAAAAATGTTGGGCTGTTACTTCTGTACAAACTTATGTACATACGTGTATGTACATATGCGCTCTATACCCGCCCTATAAAAGCATATCATTGTATGTACATGCATATGTACATAAAGAAATGCTGTCAAAGCATCTAGATATGTATGCTGGTATGATATACATATGTATAATAGTAAACAGTAATTTACGACTCTTAACATAAATATTTGTCTACAATGTAAAAATAATTTAGTTATGCTGTGGACAAACTCAGTAGACCATACAAGCATAAAACCAATTTAAATTTCGAGCATGTTTTATTTTTACTTGTGTGTATCCCAAATGGTACATCCATATGTACATTTGTATGTACGTCTATCCCATTCCTACAAGCGGGCATACCATACATATGCATCAATACAAACACATAAATACATGCACGCGGGGTATACGTATATACGCACACAACCAAACTCATGCCTACATACACATGTTTCATTTTGCGTTCCCCGTCTGACTGTACTTCCCAAGTGCCTCTCTCGTTTTCTCTCTCGCTCTCTCTCATTTTATAAAGAGCGAAACAATGTGAAAATAATGCAGCTGTATGTAAGCGTGTTGGTGAGGTCACAAATACCCAGCAGACAAATTTTGTGGACGCTTTTTGACCAGATATAAAAATTTCCCTATTCTAAATATTATATAAATATTTAATTCAAATATTATTATTCTTTATTATTTGCAGTTTATGGTCTTCTTACAGAGACCAAGAATAGATATCGGGATCGAGGAAGCTTATCATATTCATAAATAGGTCTAAATCATGTTAATCTGATAAAAAGTCATTATGTTTCAAATAGGCTTGGGAAACAGCATTTTAACGTTAATTAAATTAAATAGGGAATAAAGGTGTCCATACTCAAAGCGGATACCTGTTGGCCAGCCACAATGGCATAACATTCCATATGCTTTGACCATTTTTGTTTAAACCTAATTTTAGGCAAAATCCATGAAGATGACAACTTAAATTAAGCCAGTCTTGAGGAAACTGATTAATCAAACGTATAAAATGTTCTGTTCAGCGCTGAGGGTTCTAGCTAGCTAATAATATTCAACTGAATAATAAAATCGAGGAATATGAAAAAGTACATTAACCCATTGTCGACCAATTTACGGTGTACTTTAGAATCAACCAAAATCATAGAAAAGAAAAAAAGGAAGAAGACAAAATAATAACAAAAGGAACAGTATGTGGGAAGAGTGGTGGGAACAGTATATTTATTATGGTATATTTTGCAATTTTTTACGTTTTCCGGTATATTTCTGAGGGTATACCTCATCGATAAGTGCGAAATAATGAGCCGTAATTTTGAATGGGCTACAAAAAATCGTAAGGCAAAAACAGCCAGAAATATAACTTGAGGAAAAAAAAACAGATTTCGTTTTCAAGGTATATTTTGCAAATGGTGTATATCAGCGTATATGCTTTGCATTTTCTGGGACATTTTGCCTGTTGTCACCACCTTCTTTTTCCTTCCATTACGTAGCAAATGTGTACCAAATGTGTAGTAGCCGTGTAGAGTTTGTGATTGACTTTAGTTTTTTTGTTTTGACAACACATTCGCTTTTGCTCTAGAAAGAATTTGAAAAATGTCGAGCAAGGCACAAATTACTCTTCCCGAAGAGGAATTGGATTGGATTCAGCTGCGCCAGGATCTGGGACCCGTGATTGAGGTGGAAACCACCAAGGAAAAGCTGCAGCGCAAAATTAAGGAGAACCCGCTGGTTCCGATTGGTAAGCTGGCGGCGTAATTTCGCCGCGATTTCTGTTATATAAACACAACAATATATTAACTAATGTGTTTTCATCTCCCCTCCCTGCCACTTCCCGTCACTTCCCGCCACATAGGATGCCTGGCCACTACCGCGGCCCTGACAATGGGCTTGTACAACTTCCGTACTGGCAATCGAAAGATGTCCCAATTGATGATGCGCACCCGTATCGCTGCCCAGGGATTCACAGTTGCCGCCTTGATTATCGGCGTTGTGATGACTTATGGCGAAAAGAAAACCCCCTAATTGCTACAAAAGATACCATTAATACCATGTAGCTTTAAACTAAAACCTGAAATTTAAACTTAAAATGGCAGATATATATATATAAATAGATATATAATGTATAAAATTGATCATAATATAATTGTAAAGATGTGTGGGTAAATTATGGCCAAGAGCTAGTTGTAATATCTTTTTGTAAAGTATATTTATATCGCGGTTCCTTGGCTGAATTGACAATGAATGCAGTTTTATGAAATCTTCGGAATGGTTTATTCTGACCGCAGCACATACATTTTTCCTTTCGAATGCACAAAAATGTCTTGTCTAAAATTCTCGTCACACCCCAATAACTTGCACCGCTTGCAGGCTGCTTGCAATAACACTCGTACCTTTATTAGCTTCTTTTATTGGGAATTAAAGACTCTAAAATGCCAATTGGCAAAAACATCAACTTTGGTTTGATTTATTTTCAAGTATATATGTATGAGAACTTAGAGTAGAAGAACTGACTGCCTAAAGAATATTTGTGATGTATAGGAGTTGTACAAATATCAAAGAATTTATGTAGTCGTCTATATGTGTATGTACTATTGTCGGGTATTTCGAGTCGAGCATCGCGTGGGAGCGATGGGGGCACCTCTGGCTTTGACATAATTTAAAGGCATCAAACTCTATATAAATAATAACTTTTTATAATTTTTATTTGCAAATGTCGAAACTTAAGGCTTAATTCCTTTTGCGGAAGGGGGAGACACATACATATATACCTTTCTTTATACCCCTTCCCTCTGTTGCGTTTCTGTCAAATAACAAACATTCGAAGCGTAATTCCTATACGGTATAAAAGAGATGTTTACAATTGTGTATGCCTCCTCCAGCTGGGGTGTGGCCTAAAGAGTGGGTGGCCAAGGGTTAGAGCCCAGACGCTGAACGGGAGATGTGCGCGCGCACTTACGGTCTGGTCCGTTCTGTGCTGGGGAGGAGGACACGCATTTCAGGATAGGATAGTGTCTGGGCATTCAGTACAGAGTAGGATTTCATTGACACAGGACACAAAAGGTGTGGAAAACAGTTTGAATATTTCTTGTTTTGTTTGTTTGTTTGTCTTTTCTGTCCAAGTGCGCCCCTACCCATGTGATCTATTAATCTATCTGATATTGTACATTATTTAAAGCACATACATATATTTCTCTCGGAATAATTTTGGTTGTAGCAGCTCCTGTAGACAGCGGAATTTCGTTGTGAAAATTATTATATATTTAAGATTCAAGATTGTGTGTTGGATGCACGCTTATCAGACAATGAAGATCTACTATAATCCCTGGCCCAAATGGGGGGTCGGGTCTCAAGTGCGTCAAAATATTTACGGAGATTGGACGCTAGAAAAACCTACCCCCAAAAAAGGGCAATGTTTTGGACGCATACACACATATGTATATATTAATACCTATTAGAGGATGTAGGTATTTCGCTATTGATTTATAGCATGTCCTGCTGTGTGGGGGTCTGTCTGTTATCCTTGTTAGGATACATTTAAGCGAGTATATGCAGTATTGATAAGGTGTTTTGCGTGTGTTTTGCAGCTCCTTCAAAATGAATATAGTATTGGGAAATTGTGTGGGAAGCTGCGACCAATTGGCCGGACCACCACCTGACTTTATACTATCGATGCCGCCGCCGCCATTGCCATCGTTCCTCATCAGCAAACCGACAACCATCGAGACTCTGATGCCGCCGTCCAACGAGTCGCAGCCGTGCTTTGCCGCATTCATGTGCGGCGGCCAGGGGGGCCAGGGCCAGCACAATGACAGCAATGGCAATGCTCTGATGGAGCTGGTGCGTAGCAGTGATACCAGGAGTCTGGAGAATGTTTGGTTCTTTGTCTCCTCCTGCGTGGGCATATTCGTGCTGGGCTGCTTCCTGGCCATCATTGTGATCAGATGCAGGGAGTAAGTTTGCTGTTCACAAGCAGAGCGAGAGCATCTACAAGGGAGTATCTAAATCTGAGTCAAATCTGTTCCATATTTGCAGGACCTTCCTCTCCTACCACGACGCAAACATCAAGCAGACGGCCATCAATGCCTTGGGCGAGGCAACCAAATCGAATGCCTTCTCCTCGGGCGGCATACTGTATCCTTGTGCGACGGCCAACAGTAGGGACCTGCTGCAGAGTCAGCTGGTGAATGATAGCCGCCTGCTGTGGGCCACTCTAACACCGCACGGCACTAGGCACTTTATCATTGAAAACTCCCAGGATGGGGGGCACTACGAGTCGGTGGATTATCGCGGCAAGGCCCACAGTCAGGTGTTTCGCGGCTATGCCAAGCATTCGCAATCGTTTGTCAAGGTAAATATCAGTCACAACTGATGGCCACAGATCTGCATTCATAGAGTTTTCTTTCTCTCTGTCAGTCGTTTGATAATAATGGTTTCGTTGATTACGACTATGAGGATCCCACACCTTTGATGGATTCCTATCACGATGACATGGACTCGGGCTATCAGGAGCCCCATGAGGTGACCGGCTCGCTGAATCAGTCGTCCCCCATGCATGGCCATGCAACAGCTAATGACACACCGACAAATGTGAACACCCTATCGATTAGCCGCAAGACCACTCTGTCGCGTCGCATCAGCGATGCCTCCTCGCACAACGGGACAACGATGTAATGTCTGCTGGGTGCCGCACGAGTTTCGTTATGTAAATTACACCGAAAAAGAGTGAGGAGGGTGCAGGTCCATCCACAACTAACTACTACAGATCGTCACAGTATTTTCGATACAGATTCCAGACACAGAGATACTGATGATATTTTAGTCTACTCTTAAGTAGGGGGAATACAGACACAAAAGATACCGAAAACAGATCGGAGGAATAGAAAGCAATACTAATGTTGATTAAGTATAGATTCGCGCTAATCGTGCATCGAACCAAAACAAAACAAAAAACAAACAAACTAATATACGCATTGATCGCTCTCTCAATTGCTTTTTAAACTCGTACGTGCATCAGAAAAACCCACACACACACACACAAACTATACAACTAAATACTACAAATACTAGAACTACTAAACTACTACCACTACTAAGCATACTAAAAACTAAAAACTAATCAATTAGTTTCGGGCAACAACTATTGTATCTCATTACATGCATACCTATTGAACCGATTTCTCAAACGCTGGATTGAATAATTATACAATTTTAAACATACACACAGCAAAAAGCTCATTTCATTTGTGGCCAACAAACAAAGAACAAAAAGGCAAGCGGTTTTGTGGTTTACTCAGTGATTCAAAAACTTAATCAAAATATTCAAAGTGCCAAAAGTTGTGACATTTTGGAATTTCCCGGCTTCCGAAATAATATATATTGGGTTATAAAAATCCAAAAGGATTATCATGTGTGTGTCCCGCTATCGCAAATCGCAAAAAGTTCCGAATTCCAAAAGTGCTCAGCTCGATTCCGCCAAAAGTTCGAAATTTCTACAAATTTTCTGGGTCAATATTATTTTCTAAATTTATAGAAATCAATTGACATAATAATTTCATTAACTTTGACCTATTAAAATCAACAAATGTGAATTAGTTTTTGGGTATTTTTAATACCATTTCTTACTTTATTTTTATCTCTTATAAGAAAGATGATTCTTGACAAAAGTTCTTTAGAAAGTCTCTCTTAAAAATTCAACGATCTAAACAAACAAAAAATTCCAGATAAATTACCCAATTTCAACTAACGGTATATTCTTTTAGACTTTTGGACTAAATATTCAATTAAAACAAAAAAATACAAGCCATTTTGGAGTAAATTCCAGACCATTTTTACGAGACATCAATGCCCGAAATTCGAAAATGTCAAGAATTTGGATTAAAATCGTCACAAACATTCATGATAAATAATATGAAAAGAAAACAGGAGGATATAAAAATTCAAAATTAATAATTATATATAAATATCGCAAAGAATATTTACAAGGCAAAGAAGAACACCGAAACTTGCGTCACTTTTCCGTTTCTGTCTGCTGCGACTATAGATATGTTTTTTAGCAGCAAAATAATGAAACTTATTGTAAGTTTGTAAGAGTGCAGTCAGCAGCTTAATATACTCTTGATCCAGTCATGCAGATGCACCTCTATAACATTCACCTGGCTGTAGTTCTTTAAATGGAACTGATTGAATGCCGTCGTCAGATGAATGACGGCCGAGACAAAGTCACTGAGGCGTAGGGTGCCATCCTTGCGGATATAACGCTGTATGAGGCAGTTCATGATGTCGGTGCTCAGCTGAAAGCCAATGTCACAGAGGGCATCGCGCAAACGTTCCGCCCGCAAAATGCCGGCCTTCTCCTTGGTGTACATCTTGAAGACGCCCTGCCATGACTTGAGATTCACCATAAACGTCTTGAACTGCTGAAAGGTGATGCGCCCATTGCCGCTCTTGTCCTGCAAGGCAATAACCTGGCGACAAATGTCTATGTTGGCGCACCCCTTGATGTAGTCATTGGGAAGGCAGGCCTCCAACAGTTCGTGCAGCTCGAAACAGTTGATCGTCTTGTTCTCATCCGCCAGCTGCATGTACACCGGTTCGTACTGGCACACGCTCTTGATCTTCTGTATGCTGTCCTCGCTCTTGAGGGCCGGAAACGGGTCCAGCAGTATCATCGTCTGGGTCTCCAAGCAGGACAGTCGCAGCGCAGAGGTCCCCAATATGCGGATGGTGAAGTGGGCCTCCTCCGCCGGCTCGTATGTGGTTGGTATGAGCACATAGTGGCCCGCCTCGAGCTGTGTGTGATAGCTGACATGCCGCGTGTTGCCATAGTCCGAATTGAGGAAGCTCACGTGATTCTTGAAGAAGTCTTTTTGCAGGCACTCGTTCAGGTTGTACTCGCGATTCCATGTGTACATTGTGAAGCCAATGACCTTTGGCTCAACGGCCGTGTGCTGATTGAGGGCTATGACAACGTCCTGTTTCTCCTGCACGGAAACAAGTAGCTGCGGATTGATGTGAAAGGACTCATGATTGCGACAACCGCCGGCTGTTACGCCACGCTTCCACTGGCCCTGGTACATCTTCATTTTCCAATGCAGCGGTCGATTCTTGAGCATCTCCTCATCGTTGGCCGTCTCACTGTCCAGATAGACTATCTCTAGGGCGGTGAAAATTTGTACAAAATCATAGAACGACATCCAGAACTCGCCCAAATTCAATTGATTGAGCAGCCGTGCCCGTTCCCCCGATGAGACGCGCTCCCAGGTCTTTGACAGCGGCGACCAGTCGCCCAGAAAATTGGTCTTATCCCCAAATGGCTTGCACGAAAACGTATCCTTTACGCAAATCAGCTGCACAGAGTCCCCCATCAGGGTCTCCACCTTGTCCAGGCTGGAAAGTCTGCAAAAAAGAAGCCGTAGATATGTAAGTCCAGTCCTGCATGGATGGATATGATATATAAGACCGTAGCCTACCTGTAGTTCACATTCACCAAAATGCCATTTGGCAAACGTTCGGCAATGTTTTTCTTCTGCACCGAGGAGGCTTTGACCGCCAGGCAGGTGACAATGCATGTGGAGGACAGCTGATCCTTGAGCGTTTGCGGCCTAATGGTGTCGGCCACAATGGGCATACACTTGACGACGCCGCCAAGCAGATCCGTGAGTCCATCCGAACGGGTGCCATACTTGAGGGCCTCATACGAGCCATGCAGCTTGGCTATGGCCTTCTCGAGGAGTGCGGCCCAGAAGCAGTTGGAGGACTGGGGCTGCATAAAGGCCAGCCGGCCGTTGATTGTGGGCAGACGATCGTCGACCAGGACCTCGACCCATTCGCCACACCACCACAGGCGAAAGCGATAGATGCCCTGCGATTTGGTGAGGCTCTGATCGGCTGGCACCACGCGATAGAAGAGATTCCGCAACGAGTAGAGGACCCCGAGGCAGGAGACCAGCCACCGATCGCCCATCTTGCCAGGCACCACATCGAACTCGGCGTTTTCATTGAGAAACGAGGCCTGGGCATTGTTCAGCTCGGCAATACGCTTCCACTGGAACGTGAATGGGGGCGTTTGATAGTAGAAGACGGACGACTGAACTGCGGGGAAATCGCCGTCTTCCCACAGTACGTTCTTCGATCGACAATCACTTATAATGCGCTCATACTTTGATGCCATTTTATATATGTCTTGTCTGCGCTTTTGTATCTTGTATATATCTTGTCCATGGGTGGCTGCTGCTGTTCACATTATATTCCACCGATCCGTAGGCCTAAGGCAGCTAAATCTCTCGCTAAATCTCCGCCACTTGTTGTAATCGAAGTGAAAGTTAAAGAGCTGCATTAAAATTATACACAGACAGTGCCAACTAGCCTAAGCCTAGCTTCGTATCGCATCGGATCTGGTTCGCTCGTGCGAACCGTTTTAATTGGGCGCATGCCACCCCACTCCCCCCTTCCGCATCCCACACACCAACACACCAACACAACCATTCCATTGGCTGAATCTCGGTCTGGGCTTAACTGGTTCAAGATCGGTTGAGAACGGAACTTGAACTGGAACCAGCGCGTTCCCAACAGAATTCGGACTATCGTAATTTAAAATTAAATTTAAATTTAAGTAAAAGCACTTTAAACTGTACGATCATCAACGTAAAGTGACTATTCAATAAATAGATGGATAGATAGATCTTTCTAGAATGTTATATGAAAACACATTACGTTTTGGGCGAACGATATTTAGAAAGAAAATAAATTAAACTGTTATATGCTTGTCTTTAATCTTCTTAACTTTCACTTGGTAGAAACGGCTTTACTCATTATTTAACTTGGTAGAAACGGCTTTACTCATTATTTAACTGTATGGAAAAGTTGAATATGTCTCATCTAATACTTTTTCCTACAAGTCATCGATGTTTTGATGATTCACCTAATTTATTACTTTTTCGTGGAAGAACGATACTTTATGTATGAATTTTCCCATTTATTATTATTATTATTCATCTATTATTATCTATTATTATCCGGAATGGAAAAGGAAGCTGCCAAAAAGCCATAATGATTTCAAGGTTTCGATAGCCGTTTCGATTATAAGAACGAGGACAAACATAAAATCTGACTCTACAATTTCGTGCAATATGCAATACATACAAAAGTATTTAAAAATATAGACAATTATGACAATTGGAGCGCATTAAGTCTCGATTTCGTTTCTTAATAAGTTCTCGCAGAGTAAGGCCCTGGTTTCAGTTGTCATCGATAGTTTCTGCCAGCCCTAGTCGTCGTCGCTATAATGTGCATTTGTTTTTGTCCACAAAAATTGTCTCTTCTGTTCGTACCGTTAAGACTTTAATCGCATTTTGATAATGCGATCACGGTGAACGCCACGTAAAATGCAGCCCAAAAGTTAACAACGTTTATGTTCGTTCTGTATTTTTGTTCAACAAATAAACCACCACTCAAGAGTCAAGTCAGCAAAAAGTGACCCAGACACACCAGCTGATCCAAAGGCACCACAGCAGCAGACAGACAGACCATCACACCTGCTACGAATAAAGGGGATTTATTTACAAAACTGGCATTTCTGGTGGATCTGAACATTGCCTGGATATTAGAATAACATCAATTTGATTGATAATGGCCCTGTCCAGGAATTTGATATCAAAGATCTGTAAGTAAAACCGTATATTCGAAAGTACCGTTTTAATTCTATATGCATGTATGTATAATGTTGTGTGTGTGTGTTGTGTCTGTGTATATAGAGGTGCGATACAAATACAGATGTCGAGTACACAGTTGTACAAACAATCGAATTGCATTCTAAAAAGATGGATTTCCGATCCAATAATCCCTTTTCTCGTTGGCAGATAACATAAAGGCACACGATGGTAAAGTCACCAGCCTCGATCTTGGGGAAACGGGCCGTGTGCTGGTCACCGGTGGCGAGGATCGCAATGTCAATCTGTGGGCCATTGGCCAGAACGAGTGCTTTATGGTGAGACAATTATCCCGACATTTACTCAGGCCATAGCTTAAGCTCTGCTCTTTTCCATTTCAGTCCCTAACTGGTCATAATCGTTCCATTGATTGCGTACGGTTTGCATACAAAGACAATTTTGTTTACTCTGCCGATGATATTGGCATCATACGGAGATGGGATCTCAATGCCCAGAAGATATATTCAACGCTCAATGGGCATATGAAGAGTGTGCGCACCCTGGACTTTAATCCCTCGGGGGAGTACGTGGTATCCGGCAGCAATGATACCACCGTTAGGTGAGTTATCCGCCATGCCCAAAACTCTTTAAATTAGTCAGCTCTTAGAGCCCACAAATCTGTTTGCTCGTTGAAAGATACTCGCACCTCTGTTCGTGACTTAGAGTGAGAGGGGTATAGTTTCGGCACGTCTCGCCTCCCTCTGCTATGCGTCACATAAATGCCTAGATAAATGATTTAGTTTTTGTGGATTTATCTTCCAATTTGGAGCCTCTGCCTTTGTCTTTTATTTATGTACGCTTGGATGAATCCAAAACAAATGTGATTCATGAAATTAGTCGATTGGGGGCATATCCCCTACAATCTGTGAGGCCCTGTCTGCTGGCTTTTTCTCCGAGCCCTGATACTTTCCAAGACGTTGATTATTAGTTTTTCGCCAGGTCCTTGACCCCTTAGGCTGTTGGTCTGCTTGCCCAGATCCTGTGCAGCAGTTGGACGAGCCTCCTTGGGCTGAGTTTGGTGCTGCAGCTCCTGCCTGAGTTCTTGCAGGGTTTGATCTCTCTTTCTTCGGGGACGGGACACCTCCTCGCTATCGATGACAACAGGTCCGTCCACCATTCTTGATCCCTTTTCTTAAATCTATTTCCCCCCTATTAAGGAATATATCAAATGCCTGATTTATTCTGTTGAGGTGTAACTAGTTCCAGCATCTCTCGATGCCTATTTGGACTCAGCTTCAAGTAAAACGAGATCATGTTGGAAAACAGTCGTTAGTTTATTGGGTCCGTAAAAGGGTTTCGTTTCTATTTCTACCACCGAAGGAAGGGGGTTGCATACTGGTGCATATGTACAGATATATAAAGATTATATGTATATGTAAAAAAAGGCAAACAAGGGAATGAGGGGAATTCATTCAAAAAGACAAGCAGCAGCGGCTTACAACTTGGCCTTGGTGCTCTTCAGATCGACGTAGGCCCCCGAAATAACCTCCTTGCCGGTCTCTACCACCAGGGTGCGGAAATGTACTCGTGTGCCCTCCAGCCACATGTCCACCTTCAGCGTCTGGCCGGGCAGAACGGGGCCTGAGAAGCGCACTTTGATGGCCTTGAAGAGCGTCGGATTGTTGTCGGCATACTGGCTGAGAACGGCCCGGACCGAGTAGCCCAGGGTGCACAGGCCGTGCAGAATGGGTGTCTTGAAGCCGGCCAAGAGTGCCATCTGTGGATCAATGTGCAGGGGATTGCGATCGCCGGAGAGTCTGTAGAGTACGGCCTGATCCGCGCTGGTCGAGTACTGAATGGAGGAGTCCGGCTGACGGTTGGGATTCGGCAGCAGTGGCACTACACCGGCAATTGGATTCTTTTTGCCACCGAATTTCCCTGCACCCACCACAAACACACAGCTCTGGTTCTTGACCACCAAACGACCGCTCTCGTCGAACGAATCGCAATTGGTCACAACAACGGCGCCGGATCCCTTGTCCATCACATCGAACACCTTGCCGGTCGTTGTCAGGGTACCGCCGGTGGGAAGATCGTCGGCGATCTCCAAATACTGTTCGCCGTGCAGAATGTTGGTGAAGTCGGCCTGATTGTTGGGCAGGGCACTGCCGACCAGCTTGTCCGTAGACATGGCCAGCAGTAGGCCGGGCAGGACAAAGAACGAGGGTATGGCCGAGAAATCAGCATCGTTCTCGTACAGGAAGCGCAGATCCTGGCTGTTCTTGATCGATGCACCAATGCCCAAGGCGTAGGTGATGAGCTCCTTGTTGTCGAATGTGAATGTGTCCTCGACGGCATCGCCGCCGCCGGCCTTAAGCTTCTCGATCACCTCCAGCAGATAGCCAGTGGCCTCGGCCATCGAATTGAGGTGCTTGGCCTGCGACATGTCCGTCACCTTGGACCAGGCATTCTTCACATACTCAAGGGTGACGGTATCATCCAGAGAGGGTCGCAGCACAGATCCCTTGCCACGGACCGTCTGCACTTTGGCGGCCCATCCAGCGGCACTTTCGATGTAGCTGCCTAAACGGAAAAGATTTCGATTAGCAAGAGCGCCCCCTTTATCAGAGATTATTCTTTATCTTGCGGAAGAATGAACTTTGTTCTGCCCAAATGAACCTCTGAATTGCCCAATCGAACCTCCTCGAACACTCACCATTGTCCTCGCAGGATTCGTGGCACAGGTAGGCCACAACAGGTGCAATCAGATGCGGCTTCAGCTCATTAAAAAGAACTTCGGGAATAATTCCCTCGGTCATGCGGCTGGCCGCCGTTGGGATAATCACGTTGCAGAAGATATTATTGCGAGCGCCCTCGATGGCAACGGTGTTGGCCAGGCCAACGAGTCCCATTTTGGCAGCCGCATAGTTGCCCTGTCCAAAGTTACCAAAGATGCCCGAATTCGACGAGGTCATGACGATACGGCCAAAGTTTTGGCTCTTCATGTGCCCAAAGGCGGCCTGAGTGCACTTAAAACTTCCCTTCAGATGGACATCGTTGACGAGATTCCAGTCCTGTTCGGTTGTTTTGAGGAGGCTGCGATCGCGCAGAATGCCGGCATTGTTGATGAGTATATCCACACGGCCATAGGCTTTGATGGCCGTCTCAATGACCTTTGCCCCATCGATGACAGAATTGTAATCGGCCACCGCCTCGCCGCCACTCTTGCGAATCTCCTCAACTACCACATCGGCGGCCCGCTGCGAGGCACCCTCGCCGGAATGAGTGCCGCCCAGGTCATTGACCACCACCTTGGCGCCACGGGAGGCCAGCAGGAGAGCATACTCTCGGCCCAAGCCGGCACCGGCACCAGTTACCACCGCCACACGGCCATCGAAACGCAGTTTGCCAGCAGAAGACATGTTTTCTGGTTAATTTTTCCCTGTTTGGAAATCCGGTTACGCCTGCTCCAACGATCAACTGTCGAATGAAAAAATGAAAGGTATTCCGCGTTGAATTATTAGTTATGTGGGGGGAATGTCGTGTGGGTTCCAAAGTGTGTCCTGATAGTGATATCTCCAGATGTATATACATATATATATATATATACATATATGTTTGTGCATACAGAATGAAAATGTGAAAGTTTTATTGACTCCTACCAACGAATCGAAAGACAATTCGGTTTGATCCAAGTCCAACAACGGTTCAGAGTTCAATAAAACGAACACAGAAGGCACAACAAATTGACAAACAAAATGTTTTAATAATGTTTTTCTAGCACACACACATGCACACACTACAGCCAAGCAAGCAATGCAAATGCTATGTACATATATAGATGTGGGGATTAGGGCAATCGCCGCTCCCCATTTACACACGACTTACAATTTTTGTAGACTAAACGCACGTTAACGTTGCTGCTCGGATGCGATTCCTTAACTTAACACAAAAGATTAGCAACTCTATATCGCAGGTACAAAGTGCAACAAAGCGATAAGCAACTTAAAAATGGGTTTAATGGGAGCAAAAGAATTCGGTGCTGCCAGATCGATGGAGAAAACATATGACATCTGGAATATCGATTAATACATATATCGATGGCTGTAAATGCACTGCGATGTTTCTTATTGCATTTCGTGTTCGTTAAAAACATTTTAAAACCTAAAAAAAGGCGAAAATTCATAAACTTGTGATAAATAAAAATATAATACATTGATATATTTGGTGATTGTAGGTTAATTTTCTTTCTGTTTTTGTATTATCTTTTGAAAATGGCATCATCCTAGATTATTGATATCTGGCGCCACCTTAACAGAAACTCTATCGATATATCTATCGATTTTGAAACACCGCGAAAATAAATATTCAAAACTAGCAAAGATACAAGTTCTAATGCAATGATAAAATGATGAGATGTTTATATAAATAATTGCCAATAAATATGAAAATATCGCAAAAGATTCCAATAATAATATGATTTTTTTCTACATTCATTTCAGACTTTGGGACGTGCAGAATGAGAACAATTGCATTCGAGTGTGCCGGGGCCATATGTCGCATGTGAACTCTGTTAAATTCTCCCCGGACGGACTATGGATTGCTTCCGCTGGCCTGGAGGGATCCATTCTCATCTGGGACATAAGGAAGAGCAAACAGATCATGGAGTTTATAGCAGAGCCACCAGTCACGGCCATCACATGCATACAGTTCCATCCGTTTGAGTTCCTGCTAGCCGCTGGACGCATCGATGGCACCGTGTCCATCTATGATCTGGAGCATCAGCAGCTTGTCTCGCAGACCACACATTTCTATGGCCAGGCCATCAGATGCATAACGTTCAGTGACAATGGTGAATGCCTCTTTGTGGGCAGTGTTTCGGGCATCTCTGTCATTGGCTGGGAGCCCGACCGTGAGCTGGACCACATAAAGGGCTCCTGGTCCTCGCTGGGTGACATGAAAGTGGTCAACAATAAGCTGGTAAGTGGCTGTGCCCCTGCAGCCTATAAAATCCCACTGATCTCTCATTTGGTTGCAGATCTGCGGCTGTCATGAAATCGATGCTGTGTCCATTAATACCATAAGTCTGGACCGTGTGATACCGTTCTATCAGCCGCCGAATACCCTGCCCAACTTCAAGCACAATTCAACGAACCGAAAGAGCTTCACGCGCGGCAACCAAAAGTTTCGTCTGTCTTTGGGTGGTTCCAAGCCCGCCCAGGTCAAGGAGGAGCAAGAGCATGAGAATAAAAGTCAGAATTTCGATGATCTATCATCGCCAAATCTGAGTCTGGAGGTTGTGAACGAGGCCGTATTGGAATCGACAGAGACATCGCCCATTTCGTCGCTGCAGCATCTGCCACAGCCCGGTCTAGTGGCACCTGGCGAGCACGTGCATCCGTATAGCCTCTACAGCTATAGTAGCTACAGCGGCATGGATGTGGGCGGTTCCAGTTCCACCCGCCTCTTGCAGATGAATGGCCACAGCTCGCTGCACACAGCGGAGAACTATAACAATATTTATTCGCTGGACAAGGAGGAGGAGCCCGAGGCTGAGGCCGAGGCCGAGGTGGATGTGCAGCATTTGGAGTACAATCTGAACGAGAGCAATGCACCGATACTCTCCAATTATGATAACTACGAGATGGCCGAGGACTTTCCAGTCAATCAGAACTTGAACTATTTGGTCAATAGCTATAAGGCAGTGCCGCCCGCCTCCTCCACGATCAATGCCTCGTCCAAGTCGATCAAGAAAACGACAACCAATCTGCACAAGCGAAGCACGGGCATCAGCAACACCAAACAGTCATCGACGGCCATTTTCGGCAGCAATAAGCTGAGCCAAGTGTCGTCGGTTAGCTCGATGGAGCTGCACAAGCTGGACGACAATATGATACTCAAGAAATCGTCCTCCTCGAATGTGGTCAACAAGAACAAACGGTCGATGGTGGCGACCACGCAGAGCCAGTTCTACAAGGAGAATAGCCAGCAGAAGAATATCAATGTGGAGATAATCACAAAGCCGCCAATGAGGTCACGCACCACCCTAGACATGCGTATATCGCATCAAAACAAAACTCAGGAAAAGCATACACACGTGAGTGATCTCTCCAAAAAAGGTTTTCAGCATGCCACATTGATTGATTCCCTCTTGCAGCAGCCACTTAACAATCATCGCATCATAGCAGATGATCACAATGATTTTGATTTCCTCTCAAGATCACACGAGGCTGTGCTACAGGAATTGAGCAATCGCCAGACCAGCCTGGATTTGCTACGACACTCCACAAGGTGAGATTTTTGGCCTGCAAAGTAGAGCCCACAGTGTGACGATACCTGCTTGGTTCAGTCCGTATTGGGCGACCGTTTTGAAGTCATGAGAAAGCTAATATGCAGATTCGATTAGCTGTTCATGCAGGGCTCTAATGCAAAGTATTTCAACTCTGATTTCAGGTCGCATGATGTTTTGGGCGCCTTGAAGCAAGCTAGGAATACCGGAAGATCGATCTTTATAGATCTGCTGGGAGCCATCCTAGAGAAACCGTGAGCCTGAATAAGAGATTTGTGTAAATGTTCTTTAACATCTTTTGATTTGTTGTAGGTCCTCGTGGAACTTGGATTTCTGCATATTCGTTTTGCCAGAGATATTTGAACTTTTGCAAAGTCAACACAAGTTGTAAGTGCCACGACATAGAATACCCGATTTCGGGACCGAAACTAATTGCAAATTGTTCTTTACTAGCCACTTTACCAGAGCCTGTGATACATTGCGTATCATTTTGTCAAACTTCTTGCCAACCATACAGGAGAACCTCGACCCGTGGGCGGCCAATGGCTTGGGCGTGGATGTGACGCGGGAGGATCGCCAGAGGAAGTGCGCCGAATGCCAGCGATGGCTGTTGCAGATCAAGAACCTGCCCGAAAGCATTCACTTTGGGGGCACGCTGTCACAATTGCAGAATATAATTGTTTTTTAAAACATTGCATGCATATCTGTAGACTGTAAATTGTCCACGGGGTTCAGATTAGATCCAGACTCTTGAACGATTATCACCCACTGTGCAGGAACAGACAGCGTCCTTTTATTTTTTTTTCGGGGGAGTGGCCTCATTTGTCGCTCTAAGCTGCCAAAAAAAAAAAACTATAAACAAAAAACATTTAAAACACACAATCGATTCAGGAGAAGCAGCCGCTTCCGAACCCTGTTTGTCCAGCATTAACAAAAACCCTTAGTCATTAAATGATTTACACTATTAATTCGTTATTGAAACTAATTTATATAATTATTATTTACACATACCACCTAAGCCTTATAAATTTCAAAAGTGTGCAACAAAAGTGTCTGAAAATCTGTGTACTTATTTGTCTAAAATGAAATCTACTATACAGCATATAGTGAAAAGTTCCAATGTGATTCCTTTGCTAACATTCTTCAATCGTGAGCTCTCAAAGGGAGGCTTTCCATACAATTGGCTAGGTTGTATCAAGCACTATGCCATTACCAAGATATGGTGGGGTTTTTCGTGATGCCTCGTCGACAATGCCTTGGGAAGCTGAGTGGGTCCCTAGAATCCAACAACAACAAGCGCAAAAGTCGGTCCCAAGAAAGTAAAATCTCAGGAACTTGATGCTTTACTTTATAGATTTTACAGTCTTCAGTTGGATGTATAGTATAATATTTAAAACCATGAAAACATTCAATAGCAGACAATTTTAAAAGAGAGTGCTGCAAATGCCAGCATTCGACTAATTTATGCAGAATCAAAGCTAGCCCCCGGTGGTACATGGAACTGCTTTTGCACTGTTGAAAACTTTCCCAATAAAGGCAGAATAATGCATTGGTGGTGGGGATGGTTGGAAATCGGTGACAACGGACAGCATCATCGAAGCGTGTCGTGGACAAGTTCGCGCTAAATCGTGGCTGGGGCTGCAGGTGATTTAGATGCGTCGTTAAAATGTCAACCAAATGCAGATGATTACGGGTGGCAGGGCACGCCCAGATGGACCCCATATGGAGAAGATACCACTCGGTAGTTTCAGTTGTAGTTTGCCGATCGGCATGGAGCTCTGAAAGCGGAGGGAGTGCATTCGCATTCTTGCGGTTGAGTGACTCGAATGGAATGGCCAACAAAGAGCGGGCCAGAGGTAGAGGCTAGAGGCCGGACAAAGCGGGCTTTGAAGTTCAGTTTACCATGTCGCCGCATCATTGTATGGCTCTAATGCCCTACCTATCGATAGCGTTTTGGAGCGATTAAAGCCCCGGACAGTTGGGAGTAGTTCATCTTGGTCAGCCGACGGCAACGGTTGAGTTTTTGCGCCGTCCACAAAATGGCACTGGATAAGTTCATTCTGCTATGCTGCTGCATCCATTTGGCTGTGTGCACGGACAGCTTCGAGATCCCTAACAGGAACACGGACCTGGATCTGGACCTCGACCTGGAGGCCGAGGATAGCATGGTGGACACCGCGCGATCCTTGGAACCGGGACAGCCCAAGCAGCTAAATATACTGCAGCATTCGGCGGGATACACAGACTATGAATACTATCAAAGGCCCAGGCCAGGGGTCGTCAATGATCAGTACGGGAACGGGAACGGGAATGGGAACGACAACGATCTCAGCGCATCCTCGGCCATGAAGAGATTGCATGAAGAGACCAATCGGAGACCAGTCAGTGGCGCCGTGCCCCACAAGCCACTGCCTTGGTACGGCGAGTATTCCGGTAAGCCCAGCGCCGCCAGCGTGCCCATGTACCCCTCCAGATCCTACGATCCTTACATTCGGCGCTACGACAGGTGAGTGGCTGAAAGCAGAGTTCGAGTTACTCCCGAGACGACGGCTCTCATATTCGGCAGGTTCGATGAGCAGTACCATCGCGCCTATCCGCAGTACTTCGAGGACATGTACATGCATCGGCAGCGCTTCGATCCGTACGACAGCTACAGTCCCCGGGTGCCACACTACCCCGAGCCGTATGTAATGTACCCCGACCGCTATCTGGACACACCCAGGGCCAGGGACTACATCAAGTCGCGGCGCGGCTACATCGATGATCCCGTCCCGCTGCCCGACTCCTACAATTCAAAGTACGGCCCTTCCCCGAAGCTATCCGACCTGACGCTGCCCATGCGTAACCAGCGGGTGGTGTACTACGCCCATCTACCAGAAATCGTACGGACCCCGTACGACAGTACGCGACCGGAAGAGCGCAACTCGGCGGCCATGACCATGTCGGCTGCCGCACCGTACAAGCTGAATAAAAAGAAAATCAAAAGCAATCTGCGACCTCTAGGCAATAATTCTACCGGCTATAAAATGACATTATAGAAGCGAAATCCGAACTTAAAATGTTTGTTCTTCTGTCTACTTCAAAAAGCACTTGAATCGGCGGCAATAGAGACTAAGACATCATACTCCCCCCATCTAATGCTATCTCTTTGCAAACATATTATTCCTGCATGACCATTCCACATACATTTATTTAACATTAGGACATTTTTTTTTTTGGTTTTTTGAAAATATAATTAATGAATGAAGCTTGCTTAAGTTCTTTTTTCTGTATTGGTACGGCATATGGCGTTTTTTTAATTCAGTAAAAATATTATATACATATAGAAAAAATATCATTAACATCTTTTTTTTTGGGAATTTGGTAACCTGAAGAGCACTCATAATTATCAAGTTTAACAAATTATTCAGTTGTTCTTCATTAGTACGGATAGCCTGGTATATTTTCCATATGTACACGTCATACAAATAATTATATGTGCATCATACTTGATTAAAACTAGAAAAGTACTAAAACTGACATCGAAATGTTGAGTACATACGCAGTTTTTTTTTTGTTGTGCAATGTTACGCGTAAAAAATTCATTCAAATGTATAATAAAATGGACTTGAAAGTAGTCTTCATATTAAATATTTATACTCGGATTTGCATATTTTTTTTTCCTATTTTTACGCAATAACTTTAAAAGCTTTAAAAAAATATGTGATGAACACATGTACAATTCCTTGTTTGCCGTAGGATAAATGTTTTTTTGGAACCCACCATGAATCTATCATTTATGCGCTTGCAATGTTCAATAAATAAATGGCATACATTTTTTAGAACCAGACAATCCCGTAAAAGGCATTGCAAATATATCTGAATTTTGTTCTGTAGATTCAGGAAGGACTCTTATTGAAATGTATCTATCCATCAGAGCAGAGGCATATGTATTTATATTTTTTTGTTGTTTTGTGAACTTAAAGTTACAATCTAAAGCTACAGGCTTTTGGCCTGTATTGGAAGATAACTTTCACTTTATATTGTGATTATACTGATTTATTCTATCAGACTACCATCTAACTGAATCATGCATCGGTGGTAGCTGGTTCTCAACGTCCTACAAAAATGTGTTCCAATCCCAGCTAAAATACATATAAGAGCTTATTGTTGATGGGTATATATAATATAAAAAATAGGTAACTTTCAAGATTTACCTAAACATCAGTAAAATTTCAAGCAGCAACAATTGGCTTGAGAAATGGGCAATTCTCAAGCTGCCAGACATTTAAATACATAATCATTCTAATTAATATTCATCTGATAAATATCGGAGGAGATGCTGCTCCTATAAGTTATGACATCCTGAATCGGTGTTGGAACCAGCCCCCAGGCCCATCCGTCCTCTGCTGGGCTTCGTTGCACTTCATCTGTAAATGTGTTTAATGTTAATAGAGAGTCAAACAACAAATGATCAATGACCCAAGGGCAGGGCATTGCAGGAGGGGGTCAAGCCTTGAATTGCTATTCATTTGCAGTAAACATTTAAATGTAATTTGTGTGCCACTCACCTATTGCACTCCATCCTGCGTCCGAAGGATGTGGATGTGGATGTGGTGGAGACATCTTCAAGTTATAGCAAAAGTCCGCAGCAGCTGGAACGTTTCATCGGGTCTTTCTCCCCAGAGTCTCGTTAATTACACAATTCCATTACTTTGACTTTCGCCACGACTTTGGTCTTTGGACTTGGGGGATATTAAAGTTTTGCGATTTCTGCAATTTAACTTTCTCGCTGGTCTATGCAAGAAACAACAAGAAGCATTCGTAATTATACGTACGTACAAATACTCACATGTGTATGTACATATATTCCGGTTTGCTCCAAGAGGCCATTCATCCTGAAGCTTTATGTATGTTTGGGTTTTGTTCTGGCATTCATTCGTTTTGACACACAACACAAGAGGAGCAGCAGCAGAAGAGCTATTATGGTGCCCCAACACCACCAACGACAACAAATACTTCAGTAATGCATGGACACGTACGGCTAATTAATGTGCTTTTGTTTGGGGTTACATTTGTCAGAGCAGCGCGCGAGCGATGTAATGTCCAAATGTCCGAGGAGCATGTGACACTTTAGCCACCGTTTTGCCATATCTTTACAGTTAAAAAATACATTTTCGAAAAAGCCATCAACAGCAATCGCGAAGTCAGCCATTTTTTAGGAATGGTCGATCACTGATAACTGTCGCCCACCTCTAAGTGCGAATATCTGAATATCGATTGGCATTTTTTTATTTAAATATATGTTTATAATAATAGCAAAGCACTTTTCGGTTAAAAGCAGGTTTTATTTTTGTGGAATATTTGACTGATAAGTGTGATATAGCCATTTAGTTCTTCTCTGCGGCAATTGGCAGCGGCATTAAAGATCAGTTGGCAGTTCTCTTTGAGTGTAGCCACACCACCTGCTATGTATAAATATGCTGGTCCACGCATAACTGTGCTTTCTCTGCGCCAAAACCAAAACAAAACCAATTTCGCCTAGAAAAGTGTATTTTTAGAGTATTGACGTATCGGCTATCAGGAGGATGCATGTAAGAAAGTGCTCCCCAGCGTGGGGGGGACTATGCTATTTTACGAGCTGTATTTCGTATGTCCTTTTTCTTTTTGCCATCTCCCTGTTATTACTCACAACTTGACACAGACATTTTCACAGGTCACCGCCACGCACACAATCACAAATAGACACGCACACGCATACGAATACGCACATAAACACATTTGTCCAAGGGAGCGCGACAATTGCCTGAACGGCGCGGCCGGCCTTGTGGGACATTTTGCATGGAGCAGAGGATGCGATGCGATGGTCCGGCACTGGAGGAGGAAACCTAATGAGCGCGTACCGCCCACGCAATGAAACGGGCCAGAGACACACACACACACATACTAGGCAATTTTGGGCTGCTGTCCCGGATCTCGGGGTAAGCAAAAACAATAACAATGATGCACGCGATACTTAACAAACTTTTGCGCCGGGCGGACTCCCATAATTAGAATCATTGAAATAGCCATTCAACGTTCATTTGCCCTGGCCCGGACCCGTGCCAGAACTGTCCCAGCAGTGGCTTGGGGTCAGGTCTCCGTTGTGGGATGGCTGCCTGGCACGACATGTACATATGTAAGGATGTGTGTGTGTGGGCATGCCTGCCCCATGATTCAGTGCTCCGCGTGGTGAGTGAGTGCTCCCGGTCCGATCCGATCCGGTCCGGTCCGGTCCGGGTGGGTGTGTTCGGAGGTGTTGTGGCAAATGAGAAAACAATGCCCGAATAACGACTCTCCGATGTGCATTAAAAGATTTATTTCTTTGCGAATAAATGAAGTTTTTCTTTATGGCCAACAGTCACTAGCCTTTTCCACATCGTTGCCGCTTCCTGGACGCACAGGCCCGTGGCCGCGCAGCCACACCTTGTCCGCGACGAGACAGAACGATGGAGTGTAGGCGTACATTGATGGGGACATAAAGTCCCGGACACAGCTATTCCTTCTCCGCCTCCCGTGTAATCGCTGAGTAGTTAAATGCGCTCTAGTTATACGTACTTACAAGCAATGTGGGATGTCTGAGAGGACTAGCCGTAACATTAATGCCTTCTGCCCCCTTCTGTCCCATCCACACGTCAACAAATCACCGCAAATTTATTTGTCTGAGGCTCGGAGCGAGTCCTGCCTGCCTGCCTGCACGTGCAGTAATTAGGAGTGGAAACAATGGCGGAAGCAGCAGAGGAATGCAGAAGAAACCTATACAAATTCCTGTGTCCCATTAGGGTGTCGACAACGCCGGAGCATCTAAATCTGGGCTATTCAACTGATGGAACAGGGACAGGAACAGGGAATAGAAATGCATATATTGCACCTAAACATCGAAATATTATACAGATGATTTGGGATTTCTGTAGGGCCTCATAGGTTTTGGATTCTGCTCTGAGCCTTTAAAGAAGTATTATTCGTATTGTCAGCCAATTTAATTGTTAATTTTCGAGCTTTAATATAACAAAATAGTTTTCCTAAAAGCTTATGAATTGAAATCCCAGAAAAAGAGAATTTCTTTGCCTAATGCTGGACTTCTCAGATATTATTCAAGTCTGTATCCAAATCCGCACTCAGGGCGGCCACTCTTGCCCTTTGCCGATCAAGACTCTGACAGAACTGTTCCAGCCTCCGTTCAAAATTCTCCATCTGAAGCAGCTGCAACCGTCTTCTGGTATTCTCCAGACCTTTCTCCAGAAGTGCGACATCAGCATTTAGCATGTAGCAGGTTAGCAGTGCGGTTTGTCGAATTGGTAGCTGGTGCGGCCTGATGGGTGTGCATTTCTTGTTGCCATGACCGCCGCTCTTCTGCTGAATTGTCATTGGATCAACAAAGTTCTTGCAAAACTTGTCACTTACTGAATTGGTTTGCATTTGGCCCTCCTCCTTCTGGTCCATTTTTTTATTAAAAAGTTTATTTTTTTCGAATTTTGTTTCTGTAATCGAACATTACAAATTTTGATAGCTCTGTCTTTACTGAATACGATTTGTGAAATACACAAAGTCCTTGATGTTTTCTTCAGAGGTGATGTTGATCTGTTTTTAAGAAGCACGCGTCACCCATAGAATATAGCGTGGATTCTTTATTAGAACTGAATGTTTTCCAGATGAACCATTGGTAATTATTTGTTTAAGAAAAACCCTTAAGATACTTGAGGATTGACGGGCCATTGCGAATCAGCTATGTATATCTTTTGGACATCGTAGTGGAATATTTTGATTGACTTACGTATCAATTACGTATACGTGATAGGAGTCTGCGAACTTTTGCACACTTTGCGTTATCCGATGAGTTGATTATATTTCGAAAGAACGATATCGACTGGTTCCTGCCGTCTATATAGATATAGTCATACGATTTTAATGAAATTGTCGTATTTTATTTGGCGATTTTATAGGTTAATGATTTGTTCACTTAGGAACGATTTTTCGTTTGAAAATAATGCATTCTAATCTTAACAATTCAAAAAAGCGTTCTTGTGAAAGCTTCATTCACCTGGAAACATCAAAAATGATCAAATATACATGTACTATCGGTATGCTTTGTGTTAAAAAACCCACCTAGTTGTTTTTTCCCAAAAATGCCTCTGTTAATAAGTAGATTATTTGATTATCTTTCAGAAAACAAGGGTTTATTTTTGTTTCGTATACAAAATACAGTCCCTAGAAGGTTCACTATCAGGCAAGGTCGGGAAACCTATGCGATACCAACTAGATCAAAGATCCTATCAAAGGGATAGGCAAATTTTCAAGTCTGTACCATTGTACCATTGTGCTGTGAAAGAATTTGAATCAAAGGAATTCCGTTGGGGAATATTCCTAAGGCTTAACATAGAATTAGGAGTACTTTGTTTGGAATATGGAACAATGAACGAATTAAGAAATTATTTATATGTATGCTGGCAGATACAAGATATTAGGTACTCAAAGAGTACAGAGTCTACAGCTAGAATATTTGTCATTAGGTGGATACTATGCTTGTCTCTGTCTCTGCAACATTACCATGTAGTAGATCTTGTAGATCTTTAAACTTAGAAGATGAAATGGTTCCTTCCGCTTTTGCTTTTTTTCATAGAGGAATTAAATGAGCATGGCGATGGCGATGGCTAGGGCATATGTATATATGTATACCTAGTAAAGTGTATAGTTGTATGTCATTATTGGCTATCGTTTAAGATAAGATAAAGGTTATATCTTTGGTTGAGTTGCACAATGAGAATTCATGAACTTCCCTGTTCAAGAAACTTCCAGACTGCTTATAGAGTTCATAGAATTGATGTACCTTCTGCAAATTAATCTCCTGCATTCCCTTAAGACTAGTATTATCAATTATCAATTTTCATCATTGTAGTGCGATGCAATCAGGCAAATCTTCCAAAGAGCTTGGATGGAGGCATCCATCTGGTTTCTTTTGCTTCGAAATATTCTTGTGTTTGTAATTACAGGGCAGTCCCACAAGTCCCACAGAGTCCCATTTGGTCTTGGGTCATATCTACTTTCTTCTACGCGCTGCTCTGCTCTGCTCTGCTCTGGAGGCTTGCGTGTACGCTGGATGGGGGCGGGAATCGGTTGTGGGAGTGGGATGTTGGTTGTGAAATGGGCGGGGGGGTGTGGCTGGCGGCGCGTGTGGCGAGCAAATGCAAAACCTATAAATCTTTATCCAGACCGCATTATTGATTGGCACTGGCCAGAACCGGCCACGGACACGCAAATGGACATATGTTGGCCAATATTACGAATATTCATGTAAGGCACAACGCAACGCAACGCACACACCATAATGTCAAATGTGCGGGGCGTGGTGGCTGCCACACCACACCACACCACACCACACAGAGCCGCACTATGCCACATTGTTCCACCCCACTCTGTAGGAAGCAGAAGTTGTTCGACCACCAGTCCGTCCGAATAATAGGATAAATAAATAATTCAAATAAATAACGCTGAAATAAAATCAAATGCAATGACGAATTATGATGGTAAGACTGCGGCTGTGTGTGTGTGTGTGTGTGTGTGTGTGTGTATCTCGATGTTTGGCCTGTGTCCCGAATGATTGGGGAGCTCGTAAATCACTGACAATAGGGCAGATCGCACCCCTCGGGCCTTGATTAGGGAAAGAAGGCGGAAAGGGAACGGACGAGGAGGACGCTCAAGTGTCAAGTGCCAAGGGCATTCCGAATAAACAATCTACAACGAAACAAAGCACAAGAGTGTATGTGTATCTTGTATCTCTGTTTTGTCATAAATATTAAACGAACTTATCTCTTTCGTCTCGCTCTCTTGGCGAAAAATTTATCATTTGCGTCAAGTTTGTTAATTATTTATGTTGGCCATGCCTCATATTCCTCTATGCTCCTATGCAGCAACTGATTTATGTGCCAAAAGTACACACACCCCACACCCCCACCCACAGTCGTAGTCGCAGTCGCAGTCGCAGTCACAGCATAACCAGTACAGTACACACTCGATGGAGTGGACTAATTAAAGCGGTGGGGGTGGGATTGTATGCGCACACATGTATTTACAACAGGCACTTGTTAGAAAAACGATTTTTGAACACCTTTCTTAGGCTACAAGATATAAAAGATAAAAGAAAATGGAAAAGTTATTTTAATTATTTTCAGAATTTTACCACAAAATTTATAGACCCCGGTCCAATGCTTCCATTAGTGAGAGTTCTATGGGTTTCTACATAAATATTTATAAAACAACCATAATTGGGCTGCTTTTTCATATAACCTTAATTGGAACTACTCTAAACCTTGAAACTACTTTCAAGCCTCTTCCCCTTTGGGACTGTTCCAATAGCAGCTTTTATTCGAATTTTTTGGAATAACCACTTTCCCAAACGCACTTTCCATCCAATCTGCGTACCTTTCTGTGGGTCAAACTTGGCTCAACATGATCTCCAAAGGGATCCTAGGTAAAAATTACACTACCCTCTACCATTGCTTATCCTCTGATGTGTCGCTCTTGTCTTTTTAGCTCTATTGTTCATACATACTCGTACTTTCATCCATAAAAAAAGGCACTGCTCGTTGTATGAGAGTACTGTGGGTTCTTTCGAGCGAGCACTGTCCTGTCTGTTGGTTCGTTGGTTGCTTGTGACATGTGACATTGCATGACAAGTGGCAGCATAATGAAGAAGTGGCAATTATTCAGGACATACTGATTTATTGTACGGCATTTTTCAAATCAAACCTCAATCCATGATCCATGCCATGCTCCGTTCCCTGTCATTCCCTATTCTAGTTCCACGCCATTCCCTACTCCATTCCATGTCGTTCCACGTGTGCCATAGTCAGATTCGATCCGGTATTCGGTGTTCGGTGTTCGGTGTACGGTATTCGGGTTCGATTTAGATTTCGATTTCGGTGAAGTGCAATAAAGTCGAATTTAATTGCCCGTTTGAAATGAGCAAACTTAATGGACAATGACTCATTAACACTGACACGTCAAACAATAATGGCGTGTCTGGGATGTGGATGGGATGTTTGCCGAATGAGGAAAATGCGGAAAAGGGCAAGCGGAAAGGCGGAAATTGAAATAACGCTTCCTGCGAGCGACGACGACGACGAATGCGACGCACCATGAAACACGTCCATGTCCATGACAAAAGCTCGCCTCCGCACATGGCCACATCAAAAGAATGGCAACACACACAAACACACACACACACACACACACACACACTACAACATACTGGAGGTGGAGCAGGCAGGGCCAGGAGCTGGAGCTGGAGCTGGAGCTGAAGCACAAAAAAAAGCAATTAAGGACGTTGAAAGCAATCTTAAGCGCTGCTGACGGTGACAGTAACAACGCTCCGGCGAGGATGGGCCAGGAACCGGCAGCGAGTGCCGGCTGCCTTCCATGTGAACTCTGATGTCTGTGCGCGAGCGAAAGTGGAAGCCCTTAAGGATGTGACATGAAATGCTTATCAGCCCGACCCCACACACACACACACACACACACACACACACTTTTAACAAGGAAAATACACGCACCGCACTGCACCCACCCACAGACGGGCCCACTCACGCCCAGGCCATCCAGCCACACACTCAAGACAGTACGCCTAGGAAATTAGTTTTCCCACAGATAAAACTAAGAGTCCGAGTCCGAGTACGAGTACGAGTACGAGTCCGAGTATGTGTGTGTCAATTAAGCAGAAAAGCAGGAAAATGGACAGCGCATCGAATGAGTTCGATCAAAATGTAGCTGGCGTAGTGCTCTTTAAATGTTTCCCCCGCACACCCCACCGCACACGGAGAGAATTCGCCAAGTTTGTCTACAAAGTTATTGGGCAGCCATTGAATGGGACTGCGACTAATGAATAATGCCTGATTTCGCCTTCATTGCCTATGCCTGCAAGCATCTGCTGCTGTCCATACAAATTAACCAGCGACCAGCGATGCGACCTATTGCGCATTTCAGCGCCGATATTTGGCACATTGACATACGGCCTGGGCCACGTTTAATTGCAATGCAATAAAAACCAAGGTCCCAATTATGTATTCCCAAGCATCTGACACACGATTTAATGGACACCAGAGAAATATGGAACTCTAAATCAAAGCTTAAGAACTTTTTCTGAATTCAATTATGTTCAAAAACGAAACATAAAAAAAATTCTAGGACATGGCATCATAAAGAATTTCCTGTGTCATGACCAAGCAATGTACATATATTGTTTTTGCTTTCTTGGGGCTGACTTTTGTGCCTCGCCAAAGACTGTGTATATTTTGTTGGATTGTTCAGACCTAGCTGGATTCTGGGGACAGGCTCAGCTGCCTGAGATGCACAGTAAGCTAACAAGGTCTAATTAGGTATGGAACTCCTTCTAAAACTGTTTATCAAATACTATCGAGAGTCATAATTGGTCCTTTGTGTATATATTCTATCGTTAATTGAAAATTTAATCCATTCTATCAATTTGTTTAATTTCAGAGCCCTCATATCTGTGGTTTTCATGGAATCACTGACCAGAATGGTGTTCTCTGGCCTTCTCTGCCAAGTCCACCGGCATCTGCCTGGGGATTTATTCGACATCAACCTGAGGCAAGCTTATCATTAACAGATTCCGATATGAACCATCAGTATGTGTCTAACAAACAGTAAACATATGTATGTACTCTATACTAAGACGTATTCTGAGTTGCATCTGTAATAAGATTTCACGATTGAGGGGCTCGCTTCAAATACCTATTCCATAGGATGCCTATTGGCCGATTATTTTAATACCAAGAAGTGCTATAATAATTCAAGTTAGCCTGTCCTTATCTTCATTTAGCTGATACGGATTGCTTGGATTATAATCTGATTATAATCCATCTGTATAAAAGATTTCATTCCCTGGGAATTCCAAAAGGGTTATGATACATTCCCCAAAAACTCAATTTGCTGACCGGAAGAGCGCTTAACTCTGTTTAGTCCTGACAAATGGGTCAGAGGTTCATTTTCAAAAACGCCTGAGCCGAAAGGCCCAGCCCAAGCCCCCCTGAATCCACAGCAATCGTAATAAGCCAAAGGACAAGAAAATGTCCCCCCCCCCCCCACCGCGCCACAAAGGCATATCCGTCAGGAAAAAAAAAAACAAAACACAAATTTTGGGGCGCCCATTCCCGCTGTCATTCCTCACTTTTGTTTTTCTTTTGAATTTTTCATAAAGGAAACAGAAGCGAATTTTGTGGACATTAAAATGCCACAAAACGTTTTATAGTAATTTTTCATATTTTCGACGGTCGGCGGTCGAATGGTCCGCACTCCCCCGCAAAGATGGGGGTGAACAGGACAGAGGGTTTGGCTTCGGTCTCGGTTTTGGTGGGTGTTGGTGGGAGATTGTGTGCGGGCTCTGTTCGGGCTGAGGAGGGTTCCGTTCCCCGGGCGGCGGAAAGCGGCGGAAAGCGCCGGAAAGCTGTCGACATTTATGTTGATCTCACGCAGCGAAATAACACGGCGCACGCATCCTATGCTGATAAATTTTTATCTTTGTATGACAAGTTAATAATGTGCCAGTCCAGGCGCCGTCGTCTGCGACATCCTTCTGCCGGAGAATGGACGGGACCGGCCCGGGGTTACGCCATGTAGATTCCTTCATTCCTTTTGCATCCAGATCCGGACCCGCGGCATCAAATGAAAGTTGCTTTATTTTGTTGTTGTTTCTGTTGTTTCTGTTCTTATCGAAATTTCGTTAGGCCTGCCAAGGCCGTAGGTAAAGTATTTCCGTGGGCTTTTAACGGATTTATTGTGATTTTTGGGTCACGTGACTGTCGAGGAATTTGTTCAGCCTCTTTCCGCTTATAATTGCTTTTTGTTTGATTCATTCCCCTCGATAGAGCAAACACAAAGCTTGGTGGAAGAGAAATATAACTTTGATGTTTTTTTACACGGACTATTAATGGACTATTTATTTTTCTTAGTGAATATACTATATCCTATATTCTTCGTGCTTGTTTATATCAAAGTTCCCCTTGGAAGTGGGAAACCCTACTTGTGGTCCTGTGAATTTATACCCATCGATATGCACCGAGAGTGAAAAATTTTAAACAGAAAGTGTCTTCTATCACATTTTAGCATTTTTTATTTTATTCTTTATGTATATTCGGTTCGGCTGCATTGTAAAATATGCATCGAACCTAAGATACGATGCTTTAAGCGATTATTATATAAGATAATATTTTAAAGAGTGAACGGCCTTACGAGCTACGCTAAATTTCGTTAAGGGTGTTATTCAGGCATCGGATTATTAATTTTATATTTCAAGAGTTGAGATCAAAACAGAATTGTAAGGGGGCTTAGAGATGTTCTTGGTGATTTTCAGATGAGGTGCTTGGGTAATTTACCATTCAAATGAAAAGATTTTATCAAGATATATTTCGAATTTATAATAAATATAGTTCATATACCATATACCAATACCATATTCCTCTGAGGGTCGATATGCTACGATATTCAATGTTTTCCAAGCAACAAAAACACTTCCTCAATAAGATTCAGAATATCTGGTAATGTATTCCCGCTTTCGCTGTCGTTTGTACACATTTATTGCATCTTTTTGTACATATCCAAGTGCTTAAAGAACGGACCAGTGCCTGACATTTGGTCAAGGGAAATATCGAGAGAGCAACAAATTATAATGTAACGCATATTCGACAGTTTCGAACCGAAAAATTGTTTTTACATTCATATCTCGAAAGTTACGACACCCCTGGGAAGCCGGTGCTGGTCACTCAGCCACCAGGACCAGAGTCCTCCCCCCAACACTCTGGTCACATAAATAGCAAACAGCACCGTTCCCGTTCCGGACATCGTTGGGGGTCGGTTCTTCGGCATGGAATGCCACTTGCCGTTGAGTATAAATCTTGCATCGGAATCACAGGCCCAGACCAAGAGAGTGTTTAGTATGCGAAGCCACACGCGAATATTCCACATTACGATGGGGGGATACTCGGACTGGGGAAAGCTGAGCCAAGAAAACGGACGGAATGGACGGCACGGTATGGCACGGTATTGGGGCGGCAGAGAGGCAGGAGGTAAAAAATGTAATGCTATTTTTAAGGGATCCTTTTCAATTTATTATAGTTTGTGGCCTGATCGATTTCACCTTATGAATTCTACTATGAGAGTACGCATTTTAAATACATAAATAAAATTTCTAGAAGTTGGAAAAGGGCTCTAGGATACTAGGGGATAATATTATGCCTCGAAGATGATTTCAGCTTTGGGTTAATGGGGTGCTCTGCTCTTGGTATCAGCTGTGGTTTCCACTAGCCGCAAACCTGAACGGATAACAAGTAATTTTATAATTCTACATTCTTGAAAAACTCTGTAAGGTGTGAATTGAAATTATAGAATAATCAGATTAAACCTGACGCTTCCAGGCCATAAGGTTAAATAATCCAAGGGACCACAAGTCGTTTAATTGGCTTTTATTTAAGTCGAAACTTTGTTCCATTTCGTATCACTTATTCATGGCCCTCTGGAAGGCCAACTCTCTCCAGCGCCAGACCTAATCAAACGAACATCTTTGATGTTATCTGCCAACCTCTATGGGCTTTGATTCAATTGGCAAAACAATTTGGGCTATTCTAAGGGGAGAGGACAAGTCATTTGTAAATTGGGTTGGGTTATAAAATTTCATTTTTACCGCTTCATTGCCCTAATAGAAACAATTTATTGAATGCCGCTCCGAAAGCAGCTCCGAAACCTCCCCGAACTCTGGGCTCTGTCTGATGCTGTGTGGCTTAAATAAATGTAAATTTGCATTGGCCAGAACCAGTACCAGTAGCAGTAGCAGTTTCCTCATATTAACGGGGAACAGAATCCTATGATGCTCGGGGATATGATGCCAATGGATGGTGGTACCAGACCAGACCAGAGAAGAGCAGGCACCACCCGGCCTGGCCGTTGTGTCCCTTCTAAACGTTCTATAATTTGCTTATTATGCGCTTCCTGCTGCTCGCTTTTATGTTTTGCCACATTTTCTGGCACCCAGAGCCGAGCCGAGGACCAGAAACTGGGCATAAAATACGCACCCCAATTGCTTCCTTCCAGTCACAAAAACGGCGGAAGCCCCCGTGGTCGTGACCCCGTACCCTCAATGGTTCATATTTTGTCATAATTTATGTCGCTCTGGGTGTTGTTGCTGATGTTTTGGGTTGGCTTCTTCTGGTCCTGGTCCTGGTCCTGGTCCTGGTCCGCTCCAGGCCAAGCAGCACACCATCACCAGCACCGCAGCAGGCAAGACACCTTTTTTGGCAGTGGTTGATTTGCTTGCAAATTTATTAAAAATCTTCTGGTTGCTTCATTTTATTAGGGCATATCTGTCAGAAGATGCTGCGCGACAGAGGAGGGATGCTGCTACAGGATGGACTCGGATGTGCAGATGGATACAGAGCAGACACACGGATGCACTGAGACAAACAAACTTAAAGGTTGAATTCATTCATTTCGATTCGAAAATGGTAACAGCTCGGCGATCAAAGTCGTCATCGCCTAATTGGAATTCTTCGCTCAATCTTATTTATTTTTATATAATTTTTACTTTTAGGATTCCTTCCTCGTACGTGTATTTTCGCCCAGTGTATGCCTGGTTCCCCCTCGCGGCGTGGTGGCCCCGCATGTTACGCATTTCCTCTTGGGATTCCAGGGCATTGGGCGCTGTTCTTTTGATATTGTAATGTGCATAATAGGATTTTTATGACACCTTTACTGTGGGGACGGGCGGGCATCAGGCATCGCCAATGGCACCAATGGCACCAATGGCTGCTGCCTCGCTTAATCGCCAGTTTCCGCCTACCATCCATGAAGGACTGGCAGACTGGCCCCCTGTTTTCGCTGCTGATGCTCTCCTTCTTGTCACCAAAAAGTTGCAAATTTTATTGGCCGGATGTGCGGATGTGCGGCAGCGGCATGTGGATTGTGGATTGTGGATTTGCATCAGATCATGAATTTCACACGATGGTAATGGCCACATTAGCATTGACTACACGCATTTATGGCCCAGACCACCCCCCCACCCCCCAACCCCCCTCCATTCACCGGCCCAGGGGTAAGGTAAGTGCATGTGCTAAATTTTTAATATGCAAATTTCGTTTCAGGGCTGCCGCCTGTGCGCTCACCTTTCGCATTTCATTTACACTTGTGCTGCATATTTTATTGTGTTGTATGTACACGGCATTATTGCACACAAATGGCCAGTTACATATTAAGGCGAACAATAACCGCCGACTGTGTTGTCAGGACTCTGGGGGAAACCCGGATGTGAATGTGGATATGGGTCCTCCAGATGGCTGGCAAAATGCCATTTGATTCGAGCGACACTTGAGGCTGTCTCTGTCTCCTGCTCCTGCCTCGTTGCGCATCGTTTGGGAGCCCCCCCCCCCTCTTTAATGGCTGTACGGAATTAATTTCCAAAAATTTTTGTAAAGGTGTCGCCTCCCAAAAATCCTCCATGCAATTCCAAGGAGATCGATAAGTCCAGGGAGAGCTAAATTGTGGGCTTACATTGAGGTAGGTTCATCTCATTTGTAATGGTATTCACAATTAAAGTATTAATTCTTTCATTATAGGTAGGTGCATTGCTCCATACATATGCTCTTGCATTAGGCAAAAGGATGCTCTTTAGCTCATGTCCTTCTGCTTGAATAGAACGCCTGGAGCTCAGAGAGTCCTGCTACTGCAGGAACTTTTCACGCAGTAATTTATCTTAATTTTTTTAAGCAGAATAATGCATTAAGGTATGGTTAAACCAATCTAAAATGTTGTGACCAATTTTGGTTCGAATTTAGACAACTGTTCTGTTGCTAATATTAATCAAATTTGCCTTAAATATTCCTTCTCAAGAGCCCAATTTATTATTCTATCTAAATGTAAAAGTCCCATTTTGGTTGTCGAAATGTTGTTCAGATTAAACGAACAAATATTGCATGACAAAATCGTCGGAAAAGCCCCAAGGCAAACGGGTTGACAGGCAAATTAATTAACACAAAATTGCTGAATACAAATTTCTAAAAGTTCACTGCTGGTGCCCGCTCCTTTCCCCTACCCCCAACTTGGATGTTGTCCCTCCCCGCAGCCTGGTGTCGACAGTGTAGTAGTAGCTTTGGATGTTGTCAGTGTAAACACGACGTCGCATCACACCCATTGGATGCCCCCCGTCATCGGATTGGATTGTGTGAGTGTAAACATGGCGGGGCAACATTTTCAAATTCCATTAGGTCCTGTTGCTGTCTCTGTAAAGGATTCACTTGTTGACACGCCCATAACCCCATGATAAATTGTTTATTTAGTTTTAAAGGACAGAGCCTGTCCATAAAATATATGTACCCAAGCATATACTAGTACATATCTGTATCTGTATCTGTATCGTATGTCCCCTCAAGAGAGGTTCCGTCGGGTGGCCTTGACGGTTTCCCATTCGAAATCAAAGACAGGTTTGCTAATGATTCATTTTTTGGAGGTCCCTTCGCGCAGGAGAACAGTCCATCCGTGAGACTTAAGTAAATATTTTTTTGGCAGTACAAAACGTAGCGGCGGGCATTACACAAAATGCGGTTTACAATTTCAAGAGGGTGAAATCAGTCCTCTGTAAATAATTTCCACGTCAACAACAAAACACACACCAAATTGGGCTCGTACAAATTGTCGAGTGATAAATGGTCTTAACAGGATTCTATTTATTTTTTGTTTTTCTTTTGCTTTTGTTTTTGCCTTTGGTGTATTATGCGCCAGTTACTCTTCATTACATGGCCCGTGAAATGGCAGGCAGCATTACATTATTTTAGCATAAAAGTGTACATAATTTGACATTGACAATACACTGAGACACGGGAAAACAGGAACAGAAACAGGACCAAGAACAGAACCATGGACTGCAAATGGTGATGGAAATGCGAGGAGCAGTACGGGCAGGGGGCGGTGGGGCGGTGGGGAGGTGGGGAGGTGGGGTAAAAGCGCAAATTGATTAATTGGTTTGTGAGCGTCTAATTAAATAAAGCGGTTCAGGGAAATAGATCGGCACGCCCGCCCGCCCTCTGACCCGTGCCCGTGCCCGTGCCCGGACGGAGAGGCGAGTGTTAGACCCACGTCACCACGTTGAGTGGGGCTCACTGTGGATGGATGGTTGCTTTGGTTGGTTGCCTCACTGTAGGGCGGCGCGGCGGCACATTTTTACTTTTTTGTTTTTATTAATGTGACGGCTATTTGTTTCTAGTAAGCAATTACAAAGCAATTTTATAGCAATTACCTTCTTCTAACAGCTTGGTAGCAGGGACAGGGCTTTTTAATGCTGTTTAAAGGCCACCCCCCGACCACAGCCACCAAAACACCCAAATCCCCCACTCCCGTCCAGATATTGCCGGGCTCCTTGAAATATGCAACTCAGCCCGCCTGCCGCCCCGGCAGCCGGCTGTTTGCTGCCTGCTCCCGTTTCTCTAATGTAATTTTGGCTTTCGCTTTGGGACAGATGTGACCAGGGCCATGTGCTGTGAAATATTTCCTTCGTTTCTGCGTGCTTTCTCCTTGTTTTTACACCGATTTCCGTCGCATTACGGATTAGCCTGCCACGAGCTGCCGGAGCGGCATAGCATTACCCGTAATGAGATGTGGGCCATCAGACTTGTCGTAATGTTGGTTGGCAAGTACCTTTGAAATCACCTGTGCGGTTACGCCAATTACAGTAGAGTTTCCACTCCCCCCGTAATGTGGTATTAATATTAGTTTTTTGATCTGAAGGAACCATATCGGACAGTGGTAATTACGCTGGCTATGCGATTCCTTACACAAATAATAGAAGAAAAAAGTACCTAGTATATATGAAAATATGGTTTAGATTTAAAATACTCGAAAGTTATACTTTTACGACTAGGAAATAGTAAAAAATTAAAGGAAAAATAAGGTTAATTAATAATAATATTGATATATATTGATATATGTATATCAAAGAGGATATAATTTCTGGTTGATGGTAAAAAATAAACTATGTTATTAAATGCTTTATTAAAATGCAAATCGTATGATTTTATTTAACAAATTAACAAGTCAATTTAATCTCTACAATTTAAATATTTTAGAAATGCAGCTACTGGAAATTTGATTGATTTTGTATAATTATTGCTATGCAGTTAAATCTGTGGTTTCTTTGGAAATTGTATATATAAATATTTAATCTAAAGAGGCAAAACAGATTTTGGGAGTATCTTTTTTTGTTAATTATTTAAATACTATATTTAAAGAAGACAGTTATATATTTGCATCGGTTGTGATGTTTCTTTTCTTTCATTTAATATATTCTTATTGATTTTTAAAGATATGCTGGAATGCCAGTAACCAGAAAAAATAATGCGGTATAATCTTGTTAAATAAGATATCGATCAACGTAGACATGAAGATTCAGTGCCAAAGATTCAAACCTTTTAGTTCTGGAATGCCAGCTTTTTTTTTAAACTAAGCAAGGACTAATTTTTCTGATTTAATGGATTATTTCTTATTAATTCTTAATTTCTTATAAATCAAGAGAATGTATTTAAATAAATGTAGTATACTTTTTGGGGTAAAACATGCACATTCCCTGATATTGAGTCGGTGAGGTATTGTCCAGCATCGAAGGCAAGTTCAATCATGCGAAATGAATGTTTCCTTGCAGCGTTTTAATTTGTGATTCATTCAAATTAGATGTAAAATAAAAAATTCACTTTTTTGTGGGTTTTCCTCGCCCATTTCCCATTCTGAATCTGAATCGGATTCTTTGTGGAGAGCGAGCGGTAATCAAAACAAGTTGATGGAGAGATAACAGAGAAATTGTCTAAACACTGCACTGGGCACAAATATTTTCTTTTCAAAAATGCTGGGCATTCCTTTGAAGTGTGTCGCGTCTAGATCTACTTAAAGGACCTTTGTTTGCCCCATGCGACCTGCCAAACTTTTGCTCTGACTTGCGGCCCCTTCGGCTGTGGCAGACCCATTCCCATGCCCATGCCCAGACCCCATCTGAGACTTGTTAAAAGGCCATCGGCAACAGCGGCAACAGCGGCAACGGCAGTCCGGACGGAAGCTAAGGAGGCGAGGCAGGAAGTTTTCTGAAAAATTTACCGATAATGCGTAAAATTCCATTAAATCGGGTGTAATTAAATGACATTTACTTTGGCCACATTAAAAAGAGCATAAATCAGCGACTACTGCTGCAAAGCATATTTCGCCCGCGGCCCGCGGCCCCTTCGTTCCCGTCCGGCACTGGACGGAGCCCAAAAGAGGAGTGGAGTGGAGTGGAGTGGCGAGCAGGAGGATGCCGGGACACAGCTGGGAATGAGGAAAAGTTTCTCCCTCGTTTGCGTACGAAAAAGCCAAAACAAATATGGGGTGAACAGCTTTTGCTTGGCCCGCGTTGGGGATGGGGTGATGGAGGTGTGGGCCAAACGACGCGGAATCTGTAAAGAAACCTAATTTATTGAAAAATTGTTTCTTGGGGTGTGTCGTCGTCGTCGTCCTCGGCCTCGGCCTCGGCCTCGGCCTCGTCTTGGTTTGACTTGACTTGACTTTGCCTCGACCGAGGGCCTGCTGTGACCTTTTCTCTGGCTTTTTGTTTGTGTTCACAGTGTTATAAAGACAACATTCTACTACTTAATGTCCGTTGTTCCTACTCTCCCCCCATCCCAGGACTCTGGCCCGCGGTGGCACTTGCCACAGACTTTGGCCTGCCTTTGTAGAACATAAAAAAATTGTGCATCAAAGAGCAAGTTTTGTGTTTTCCATTCCAGGTTCTCCCCCCCTACTGTCAGCCTGCTAAAAGCCTCAAAATCTTGCATTAAAAACGGAAACAAAATATTACTTTTAGGATGGCCGCATTTACGTACCTACAAACTTAACTTTTCCCCCATATTCTTTTTTCATTAGAGGCCACAGTAAATCATCGTTGTGCGAGTGAGTGTACGAGTACGAGTAGTATGTGCCTGGAATGAGCGGTCGAAAATCAATAGCGTGAGACACTCCAGACAAAGCCAACAGGAGGCAACCCTTTCAATCAGCAGCATCAGATGTACGACGAGTATTCTCCACGCGTCGATGGCCATCAGCAGCCCCGAGGACACGGACACAATGCGATGCGATGCGATGCTATCGCAGATCAAGTTTCTTTAACCTCCCCATCAATTAAAGTAAAAGGCTTTTTCTTTATTTTATCTATTGTGGCTTTTGGTCCAGCTGTCCAGCCGTATTTCGTAGAATTTTCAGTGAAATTTCAATATTTATAAATTTAAAATTAATTAATAAAATTCAATAGCAGTCATAAATATAAATTTCTCTTATGAACTTGATGTTAAATCGAATAGAATTTAAATATTTTAAGAAACTATGTATATTATGCTATTCCAAAGGTGTTTAGTGAAAGGTTTTTGTAGGATATGCGTCTCTTTCTGCATCTGTATAAATATATTTGAA